TGTGGTTTTTATACCTATTTCCTGGCACATGGATATTAAAACATTTGGACTCTCTTAAGTGCTAAATATCTTATTTGTACACTTTGACTTAGGGCCAGGGGTTTCTATGTATGTGTCTGGTAGCCAGGGGAAGCAACTGTGTAATTAGAGGTTAAAAATTTTAGGTGGGTCAAAGTAGACTGTGTCCTTTTCAGCGTACATGGGATTTTCTTTCTGTCATATCCCCTGCCTTTGGCTGGTTTGTTGATCCACTCGATCTGAATGTCCCAGACCACAGAGCTTACATTCACCTCTCTTGGTCAAGGACTTGAAAACCACATTTCAGATAATTCTAAATGTCTCTGCTACTGTGCTATTGTTCAAAATTTAGATTTTGAGCATTGCTTTCCTTTTGGTTACATTTTTAATAATTCTGTTTCCTATTTCTAGAATTAATTTTATTTTTATTTTTAGATAGGATCTCATGTATCCCAGGCTGGCCTTGATCTCCCTATGTAGCTGAGGATGACTTTGAACTTCTGATCATCATGCCTCCACCTCCTGAATGCTGAGATGACAGCTGTGAACTGCCACACTCAGTTTATGGGGTGTTGGGACTCACCCCAGAACTCTGTGCATGCTGGGCAAGCACTCTACCATCCTACTTCTAATCCTGCAGTGAAGATCTCTGTACTGCTGTCACACTCTGAAAAATGTCTCCACTAGTGACATGGTCCTCAAGAGGGACTCGGAATTCATCTCTGTACCACTCCCTCCCTCCTCTCTGCTCCAGATCAGCCTGACAATTCCAGTGGAACAGACAGTGGGTTTAGCCACTCAGGTTGGGGCAGAAAGAACAAGTTCCAGAGGATGTCCAGGATTTTCAATGCCATAAGAACATGAGCTCCAAAATACTTGTTTCCTTTGAAACATCAGTCTGCTAAGAAAGACTAAGTGAAGCCATGATGCTCATAACCCAGCCCTGTAGGGTCAAGTTCCTGAGCTTTTGTATTGTTTGAGAATTTCATACGTGCATGTAATGTGTTTTGATAAAATCCACCCCCATTCTCTTCCCTCCAGTTTCTCTCCTCTCACCCCCCACCATTCCCACCCACTCTTGTAGGACCCATCCAAGCCTCAGGAGCATTAACTTTTTCAAAGGCATGAACTCAATGGCCCACCTTCCACCAATCTCCTCCTGTCAATGGATCCACCCAGCACGGCCATGCTAAGGACCAAGCTTCCAGCATGTGAACCTTGAAGGCTGTATTCAAACCATAACCAGCCACAGTGGTTGGGTTTTGTATACTGACCTTCTGTCTTATTATTATTATTATTATTATTATTTTATGTGTATGCATGTATTGCCTGCATGTAGGTAATGCAGAATTGTAGGTAATGCCTACATGTCGTGCAGTGCCTGCAGAGAACAGAGAAGCTGTCAAATCCCCTGGAACTGGAGTTACAGATAGTTGTTAGCTGCCATGTGGGTGCTGAGATTCAAACCCGGGTCTTGTACAAGAACAACCAGTGTTCCTAACTGCTGAGCCATCTCTCTAGCCCTAACAGTCAGTAGTCAGTATTCTTAACTGCTGAGCCATCTTTCCAGCCCCCAACAAGTATCTTTTAAGATCAAGTAACCTACCAGATTCATTGGAAGACTATATATTAATTTCTTTTGGCTATTTCAAAGTGTTACATTTCTCTGTACACAAGTCAGAGGTTTTCAGGGTGTGCTGGAGGAAAGAAAATCTGGTGATTGGCAAATCTTCTATAATTCTGATGCAATTAATAATTCATTCAACAATATTTTGTCTGCCATCTGTTGTGTAGTCAGCTGTGCACTAGACTGAGTAAAATTTGAAAATGACGTGTCCTGCCCTTGCTCACAAGCTACTTTCAATGTCATTATGGAGACAAGACACACAGGAAATTACTAGTCAAACTTAATAAACTGCAGAATTGTGACTGCTGTTAGAAAATAGGGCAATATAAAACAAAACACAGTCAACTCTCATCTGTGGATTCTGTATTTGAAAAGTTGCCCACTCCCTAAAATCTATCTGTAACTCCACAATCAACACCTGCAGTGCTTTTATGGTTATTCTTAGATATGCCCAGAGCTGGGCACATTGCAGTTGCTCAGTGTGCTTGCTCCCGAGGCTGAACAAGGCATACTCTGCCTTCTTAAGTTCTCAGACTGTAAGCAAGAGTCCTCTCCACAGACTGTTTAGTGCCACGTGGCTACAGTTTTACTGATTTTTCTGTTAAAAATGGTCCCCAGACATCCTGCCGTTAGGGATTCCTAAGTGAAAAAAGACTATAATGTAATTTATAGAGAAAATGTGTATTAAATAATTTTCACTTAGGTATGGGTTATAGTGATGTTGAACCCAAGTTTAGTGTTAATGAGGTAACAATATAAATTAAATAAGGAAACTTTCAACAGAAACCTATAGAGTAAAATTTCATATTGATTGGTTGATAAAAATGCCATCAGAGGCCAGGTTGTGGTGGTACAAGTCTGTAATTTCTGGATGCAGGAGGTTGTGGCAAGAGAATTGCTGTGTGTTTGAAGCCAGCCTGAGCTACATAGCAAGATTTTTTTCCTTTTTGAATAGGCTCTACCTTTAGCCTCAGCACCTGGAACTTGGCTATGTAGACCATGCTGACCTCTACCTTCCAAGTGCTGGGATTAAAGGTATACACCACCATGCCCAGTCCCATGGCGGAACCTAACCCTCGGTTCCTGGTTCAGTATTCACTAATTCAGTGTTCCCAGCAGGTTTATGGAACATAACTACTGTAAATAAGGAGAATCAGTTGCAGTGAAAACCCGAAGATCGAAGGGGTTATGGAGAGAATCTGAGGCATTGCATCGCGAGATGCCAGAAGAGGCCATTAGTGAGGGCGCACCTCAGTTTCAGTGGAGACCCCAACTTTTTGGAGATGCCAGGACCATGGGATGACCACCAAGGGCAGCAGTAGGTGAGGAATGGAGAGGGCCTGGGCCTGTGAGACGAACTGTGTGTGCTGTGGACAACAGAGTCAGAGAAATGGAGCCAAAGCCCTTTGGAGCCCAGAAGACTGAGTGAATCCCAGATGTCCAGCCTTGAGCTGCTTTGTTGGACTTGAGTTTTGCTTAGGTGCGCCTGACTCTTCCCTCTGAAATAGGACAGTACTTGTTTTTTGGGTTTTACAGGAGCCCCCAGTTAAGAAATTTTTGTTTAATCTTTTATTTTTTTATTTTTTATTTTTATTTTTTTGGAGCTGAGGACCGAACCCAGGGTCTTGCACTTGCTAGGCAAGCACTCTGCCACTGAGCTAAATCCCCAACCCCAGTTGAGATTTTTAAGAGACTATGGACTATTAAGTGTTGGACTTTGTGTGTTTGTGTGTGTGTGTGTGTGCGTGCGTGTGTATTGCTTGCATGCATGTAAGTGCACCCATGTCATGCAATGCACAGGGAGGTCAGAGATGGTGTTGTATCCCCTGAAACTGAAGTTACAGATGGTTAGCCACCATGTGGGTGCTGGGAATCCAACCTGGGTCCTCTGCAAGAGCAGTCAGTTCTCTTAACTGCTGAGCCATCTCTTCAGCCCCGATTTTTTTTTAACATTTTATTTTATTTTTAATGGGTATGAGTGTATTGCCTACATGTGTTTAAGTACATCCATGTCATGCAATGCCCACAGAGGTCAGAGAAGGCATAGGATACCCGGGAGCTGGAGTTACAGATGGTTATTAGCCACCATGTGTGCTTGGAATCAAACTGGGGTCCTGGACAAGAGCAGTCAGTGCTCTTAACCCATTGAGCCATCTCTCCAGTACCCAGTGTTTGGATTTTTTAAAGATTGTGGGATTTTTAAGGTTGTACTGTCTCTTTTTAATTTAATTTTAATTTTTACTTATAAAAGGAAGAGTTTATTTGAGCTTACATAAGTTCCAGAAGAATCAGCATCCATCATGGAGGGGAGGTATAGTGGCAAGAGGTGACCAGAGCAGAAAGAGGAGCACTCACATACTGAAGCAGGCACAGGAAGCAGAGGGGATTGTACTGTCTCATGTTGTGATATGTTAACATCATATCTTAGGGACAAAAAATGGGAAGGTTGTGGTTGTGTCTCAAGTTGACAAGGGGTCAATTGTGCTGGACAGCTTTAATTGTCAGCTTGGCACACCTGGGTAGTGGGAGCCTCAACTGGGGAATTGTCTCCAATGAACTGGCCTGTGACCATGTCTGTGGGGCATTTTCTTGGTTGTTGTGTGATATGGGAGGGCCAAGGGTATTGTGGGCAATGCCACCCCTGGGCAGGTGCACCTATGTTGTATAAGAAAGCAGACTGAGCAGGGGCGAGAGGAGCAAGCCAGTAAGCAGCATTCCTCCATGGCCTGTGCTCCAGCTCCTGCCTCCAGGTTTCTGCCCTGAATTCCTACTTTGGGCTCCTTGATGAACTGTGACTCCAGAGATGTAAGCTGCATAAACCCTTTCCTCCTCAAGGTGGTATTGGTCGGAGTATTTTGTCACAGCAATGGAGAAACTAGAACATACAATAACACAGGTCTTAATAAAGCTGTCAGGACTGAAGAAATGGCTCAGCAGCTAAAAGTACTGGCTGCTCTTCCAGAGGGCCTCGGTTTGGATCCAGCACCCACATGGTGACTACAACCAACAGTAAATCCAGTTCCAGTTTCAGGGGATCCGACGCCTTCTTCTGACCTCCTAGGGCACTGTACAACACGGGTGCCCTTGTACACATGTGGGCAATACATTCACACAAAAATAATAAAATATATTTTTAAATTTTTAAGTGTATGAGTATTATGCCTACAAGAGCAGCCAGTGCTCTCAAACGTTGAGTCATCTCTCCCGCCCCATAAATAAAATATTTAATAAAGGTCTCCGGAGCTTTCTGTTTCTTTAAGGCCGAGGCAGGGAATTTTGCCCCATTCAGAAATGGCTGCCCCCGCGTCACAGGTTCTGCGCATGCTCGTTGCGTCATGCTTGCAGAAAGCGCTGAGAGGCTCCCTGGGCAAGACGGCGACACGGCCTGTTAGGCGCTCCTCCCGGCATTCCTAGGCCGAGGCGAGACGATGGGGACGCAGCGGGGCCGAGCAGGAGGCCGGGGCTGAGGTCGGGCTCCGCGGGGGAACATGGAGACGTGGCGTTGCGTGCGGAGAGGCTACGGCCGCTGTGTGGTGGGCAGAGGCCGGTCAGTACCGCTCGAGGGCGGAGGAAGGGGCGGCCCGGGGCTGGACGGAGGAGCGGGAGGAGGGTCCCTGCGGAGAGGTGACGGGCCGCGAGGCGGTCCAGGGCTCGAGGGCCGGAGGAGGGAGCACCGAGCATCGGGGAGGGGGCCGAGGACGGGGGTCGAAGCACCCGGGAGGGAGGGCGGGGGAGGGAGCATCGAGGCGGGGCCGGCTTCCGTCACTCCAAGCCCAACTTTGACGCCGTCCAAGTTCCTGTCCCAGCCGGTTGTTTTACTGGACGTGGTTCTTCGAGAGCCCGCCGTCCCAGCACCGAGGCAGGAGGATTGCTGCGAGTGCGGGGCCGCACTGGGTTAGAGGTGAAAGACTGCTGGAGCTTAACAGCACTCAGTAGGTGCTGCCGCGGTCACGTCCCGAGGGGTGCTGGTCGGTTCCCTTGGTGCGCTTTGAAATGAGGGCTTAGTGCCGGCTGGTGGGCCCCGCGTGGGAAACAGCAATGTCACCTGAGTCGTGGGATCTGCCGTCATTTAATTCCGTCGGCCCGGGACTGGATTCGGTGCAGAGGTGTTGCCTGAGTGCCACCTGTGTGCAGAGCTTTGTGCCAGTGCCTCCCAAGAACTGGGGTTCAAGTGACTAGGGGAGCTCTGAAGGAGCCCAGGTATAAATCAGTGCAAATCCCAGAGACTAGGTGTCACCCTGCAAGTTTTACATCACAGCACGGTAACATATCAAGTTAGAAAGCACACAGTTCCAGCTCCAGCACTCGGGGGGGTAGAGGTAGGATTAGGAGTTCAAGGCCAGCCTGGGCTGCAAGAGACCAAGACACAAACAACAACAAAAATCCTGAGCCAAAATCGCTTTCCATGAGTTTCAGAATCCTACAAGACACAGTGCCCATGTCATGTTTCTACAGATTTACAATTAAGTTGATTTAGAGAGCAGTTTGAGAGTACGTAACTTCATGGAGGTAATATGTAATAGTATGTTATAGGTAATAATAAAAGGTAAATGTTTTTCCAAAGAAAACTAACTCGTGAGCAGTAAATGCAACTTAACACAGTTCCATTAGGGACAGTGGAGATTCTTGCTGTAAGATTCCACAGGAAAGTTCTCTGAGCCCTCACAGTTTGCCAGCACAGTACAGGGAGAAGTTGCTACTTAAGCTGCAGTGTTTTTTGAGAACTTGAGAGCAATTTGTCCTTTAAAAATAATAGTAGGGGCCTGGGAAGACAGCTCACTTATTAAAGTGCTTGCTGCACAAGCATGAGGAACTGAGTTCAAATCCTTGCGTGTAAAAGCTGGGAGTGGTGGCGCATGCTTTTAATCCCAGAGTGGGAGGCAGAGACAGGACCATCCCAGGGCCTGTGACCAGCTGGGCTAGATTCTGCGAGCTTCAAGTGAGAGAGATCCTGTCTCAAGATGTACAGGAGTAGAGGAAGAGACCTGCCGTCAACCTCTGGCCTGTAGTAAGCAAACACAGCATGCAGCCGCACACACATGCACACTTATAACAAACACATACTTTGGAAACCTTTTGGGTAGTAAACTGATGCTGTTGCATTTGGAGTGTTGGTGACTTCTTGGTAAATAATCTCTGTCTTTAATTTCTCCCAAGGAGCAGCTTGCTTAAAAATAAGGAAATAGTGAGGGAATAGTTGTCCACAGATTATCAGAGGAAGTAGCTTTGTCATGTTGTGATAGATTTTTGCTTTTTAGCTTTACCAATGTTAGGGGAAATTTAGCCTTGGTATTTAAAAAAAAAAAAAAAAACCTATTCAGAAATATGTTTTTACTCCAAACTCAAGTTGAGAGGGGGAGTCACTTTATATTCTGATATGTTCCATATTTAAATATTATGTTTGCTGTGAGTTTTATTTCTCTGTTGAGTTTTTGGTGCTAGAAAGCTACTCTGAGTACTAGTGTGATAATAGATAAAGCTCTCAGTTGGACGGTGGACAGAGTTTTTGAGGGGTATGTGGTATCTTCAGAGACTAACCAGCATTTTCTTGTTAGATATTTACGATGCCATTCATAGGGGTTTAGGGAAGAGTATGAATGTAATGTTAACAGGTAATGCTAACAGGTAATGGTGGGTGCCTTCTCCTTCATCCTCAGATTTAGAAGTAGATTTTAAGTATTAGGTATCACCTCTGCTGGAGATCGATTTAGACTCTGTATACTGTTGGTGAACAAAAAAGTGGTTCCTCAAGGAGTGTATTTATCTCTTCTAGATACTCCATGTTTCCCCATCACCTGAAGAGTTTGGGCAGAGACTGGACCTCACCATGGGAGGATCTGCAAAGGTGTTGTTGGAGCAGACACATTTCTAGTTGCATGAGATGGCCTGGACACTACTCACGAGCACCGTACCCGTACTTCAGTAGTCGGCATTTTTCACTAAATTGCAGACCATCTTGTTTGTTTGAGTCTAGAACTCAGTTTCAGTACTATAATTGGAGACCTGACCACCTGAGCCAGACCTCCTTGATTCATCTCTCTAGTTACGTCATGAACTCTGAAGATGAGCCTTCATCCAAACGAAGAAAACACCAAGGTAAAGGTGGCATTCATCCTGGTGGGGAGATGGCTGTGGTGGCGGGCTATGTGGAGCCTTCGCATAGCAGCTGAGAGGTGCTGCTAAATCATTTTAAATGTCTTATTTTCAACTAATTGTATATTTCTTGCTGTAAAAATATAAGTGACTCTTGATGGAATAAGATTAGAAAAAACTGGACAGGCAGATAAAACACAAAGTCTGAGAATAGCTTCACATGCTCCTTTTTTTGAAAAGAGCCTTTGCTGACTTAGAAAGTGCCAGGTGCATTCTTGGAATTTGGTGATCTAAAGCAAATAATTTTGTTTGGATGATTAATGTTTAACTTTATAACATAAAAATGAGTAGAAACTCTTGCTTGAAAGTAGAAATCTATTTGCATAATAGTAATCACAGCTTGTAGAGATGCAAGTTTGTGTGAGATATTAACATCAGACTCCTCAAAGCAGCTCAGGTCTATAAATGTAGGTCTGTATGCTGACCTCAGGTCGCTTTTGTATATTTGTTCACTTTTGCAGGGGGTGGGGGATGTTGTTTAATTATTCTTTCTTTTTGATAGGGTCTCATTGCCCCAACTGATCTGGAACTTGTTAACCTCTAATTCACAGGCATCTTCCTGCCTTTGCCTCTTGAATGGTGGAATTAAAAGCATATGTACATTTGCACACTTTTTATATGTATTGCACACTTCTTGTTTACCTTCTGATAACTCTGGTGTGCTCTCAGATGGAGTCATGGCGTGTGCTTAGGAAGCACGCTTTGCCCTCCTGTGTGAGCTTGGAGCAGTCACCTAACCTCCCTACTCCTAGGTTTTCTAGTGCAGTAAATAATACCTGTTTTGAATATCTGTTAAGGATGAAATGAGGTATGTCAAAGTACCTGACACTATCGGCTTCATAGTAGGTACTCAGAAAGTTGTGGTGGTGGTGGTGGTGTTTTCCCATTAATGGATGGGGAATTACATTTACATACTGATAATCTTGATTACAACCTGACTCTTTGTATGTCCGTTCTTCCTAGGTGTTGGGAGTAAGGAGAATGCTCTTCATTAAGCCGTATATGTGACTGCCGCTATCTCACTAATACTTTTCAATCAAGAGAACAGTATTGCTAATTGCCTATCACTTTAAAGTGGTATTTGAAGGATTTGTGTAACACAGTTATGACGTTTTAATTAGGCATCCCAATACCTGATCAGGCCTATTGCTTGCTTTCTTTGATTCACCTGTCTTCTCTGCTGTGATCACCCTGTTCCTCCTGACATGGAAGGTACATAAGCTTTTGCAGTGTGAATTTATGTTGTAAAGTCTGTGAAGGCCAAAGACTGTTCACTGTGTTGGTTTTGAAATCATCCTCTGTGGAGCCGTAGCATTTGAACACACTCATGCATGTGTGTTAAAAGCAAATGTGGTCAAGATAAAATGTGTGTTTACCCCTTCAGCCCAGTCCTAGTTCTGACATTCAAGAGATTGGTGTTCTGTGACAGGAAAAGCAGTACTGAAGGGTTCTATAAGCTGTAGAGTTTGGAAGCTACTATACTGACCAGATAATCCATTGGTTCTGGTTATTTAAAAAGTAGAAATAAGCACTTGGGAGGCAGAGGCAGGCTGATCTCTAAGTTCAAGGCCAGCCTGGTCTACATAGGGAGTTCCAGGCCAGCTGGGGCTACAGGAAGACCCTGTCTCAAAAAGACCAAAAAATAAAGCAGTACAAAAGGTTGGTTTAAAACTTATTACCACAGCTATAATCATCTTAATGTATTTTTGTGGCATTCTATGCATATGTTTTCTAATAAACCGTGACGAGTATTTTAGACCTTCGTTTTCCATAGTTAACATGGCGGTGGCATCAGAATGGGGCTCTCCTAATGACAAGAGCCTGTGTTCTGTTTGCCAGATGGAGCCCTGTCTGTCGTGTTTATGTATGAAACCATAAAGGATCATCCCCAGTTGGTGAACGGGGTTCTACAAATCTCAGTGCAACTCCATGGAGCTAGTATAGTCAGACTTAGTTCTGAACCTGTGGAAGTAGGATTCTCCATGTTCACTGAAAGACAGGAAGGGGGTCATTTTCCTCCCTCTCCTTGGCATGCGACAGGCTCTGGGTAAAATTCTGTAGTAGCTGAAGACTCTACTTTGGTTTTGTTTCCACCCCCCCAGCACCTTCATAGCCTCGACTCCCATGTGTCACCCAGGCCTCACTAATCACACAAACTATCTTCTGTCTAGTCAAAACCTCTATTTTCTTCATGTAGCACATAGAACATATGTAGCTATTGAGGAGAGTAACCTGGTTTAACTAATTGACCAGAATGCCCTGTACTGGCAGCTGTATATAGTGTGTTGACATTTTGATTGTAAATACTTCATTGTAGATTTGACAGTCTTCCACAGTGCTACTACTCAGAAATAATTACTTAATGGTAGCACATTTTCACCCCACATGTAAGTATATAGACTATTTTAACCTCACTTTACTTATGTGTTGTTTTGTTCAAGCTGGCCTCGAACTCAGCACTCCTCCTGCCCCAGCCTCCTAAGTGCTAAGATTGCAGGTGTGAACCACCATGTCCAGCTAATGTTTAATGAGTAGAGTTTTTGACATTCTAATCTAGCAAAGTGAAAACTTGCCCGCGGGCGTGGGCAGTGTTCCATGCCAGGTTTTCATAGTCTCATCATGCCAGGCCATCTCCAAACGTGCTTTCTTCTCTTTGACTGTTTTCTCCTCTCTTCTGAGCTCATGGGTTCGCTAAAGCGGCCATGTTTTTCTTCATGGCTTCCATGGCATTACGCATTTCCTCGCTAATGTGGCATAACAGACACATGATCAAAGCTGAATGCATGTGCCTGTTATGTTATCCGGGTGCTGGGCATTGAACCTACTTGTGCTTGACCATGAGTTAACCACCAGACCTTGGCATTTTTGAGATAGCATCTCCCTATGTAGCTCAGGCTGGCCTTGACATGCTGTGAAGGCCATGATAACTCTGAATGTTGGGTCCTTGTACTTCATATAGGCCTGTGCCGCCAAGCCTGGCTGTGTATGTGTGTGAACAGACGTGCACCCGCACGATGATTTCCGAGCTGAGGACTACCTGCGGATACAGAGTCTCACTCTTCTGTCCTTTTTCATGGTTCTCTCCTGTCTTTGCAGAATAAACTGTCACCTTCCTGGTGGCTCTCTCTTTATCAACAGCCATTGCTGTTTGGACATCTGTATCTGTCGTGTTTTGATTTGGGTTTTGGTGTATACTGAAGGAGCTCCTTTGTTCATCTTGTTTGTGGTGTTCCACTTCACCATTCACACACCAAGTGCTGTTCCCGTCTATTACCCTCATGCCCCATCTGTTAGCCTTCATTCATTTCTAAACCAGAATTCTGAACTGAGTCTTTTCTGGAATGTCATGGTTTGGTGACCTTAGCAGGGAACAAGCTGTCAGGTGATGCAGCCTCGCTGGAAAGCTTGCAGTGCCTGGTGCTGGCAGAGTGGCCGAGCTTGGCTGTGGCAGAGCTGCTGCTTACTCAGAGAGAAGTGAGAAGCACATCCCAGTGTAGACCTTGTTTTTAGCCATGCTCAGCATCCATACAGATTTGCTGGCTTCCCTGAGCCTGCTTGTGTCCCCACAGTCAGGCAGTGGATCATTCTGCTGCTTTCGCAGTCCATTCGATGGCGGGCTTGTAGCTCTTCAGCATCACACCACCATTTCCTGGGGAAGCACATGGTTCTCACTGGCTGCTAAGTGAGAAAGTATTTATATACAGGAAACTATGGCCTTTTGATTAATTCTTTATATTTTGTCCAATATATTGTAACAGGCGCAATAAAAAGGAGTTGGGAATATTTATGCAGCTGTAATACAGATAAAACAACGGTCCTCGAAGACAAAAATGTTGACTGCAAATGTGAAGACAGTGAAAATGAGTTTGACTTTTCAGTGATGTCCTATAACATACTTTCCCAAGACCTACTGGAAGCGAATTCGCACCTGTACAGACACTGCCGGCGCCCAGTACTGCACTGGCGTTTCAGGTTTCCCAATATTCTGAAGGAGATTAAGCACTTTGATGCAGATGTAAGTGTAAAATATTACCAAACTTCTTTATACAAGAAAAAGTTTGGTTGAATATGGGTATATTTGTGAGCAAAGTGGTGTTTGCGTTTTGCTTTGGGGGCAAAAAGGGATGATGTTGAAGGAGAGCGATGGGACCGTTGGTAAGGTATGGTTTCCTTGTGACAGTCCTAAGGAAAAATTTCAAAAGACTGAAAATTTTTAAAATATTAGTCAATTTTTGAAACAGACATTGGAAACATTAAATATTTTCTTTGACTTAAAATTTTAATAATTTGTGCAAAAATTCATCTAACTGAAAAGATAACATTCAAAGAATTCCAATTCCTTTTTTGTTTGTTTTGAGGAAGGATCTCTGGTAGCCCAGGCTGGCCTCAGATATACTGTGTAGCCTAGGATGACCTTGGACTCCTGATCTTCCTGTTTGTACCTATCAAGTGCTGGCATTATAAATGCGTGCTACTACACCAGCTAAAGAACACTTTTGACCATCCTGGCATTGAACCTAGGGCCTTGTGTATGCTAGCAAAGTGCTTTTCCACAGAAGTCACATCTCCCAGCCCTTTGAAACCAACTTCTTAAGAAAAGACTCACATCACAAGTGATGTAATCCTAGCACTTGGCTGAGGCAGAAGGATCACTGCATGTTCAAGGTTGGCCTGGGCTATATAGTGAGATTCTGTCTCAGATGAAAGAAAGAACCCAAAAAATACTGAACATGTAAAGTCAGGAAAGATGTCCTGACAAATAAAAAAATACTTCTTGTAGGAAATACCCTTGGTAAGAGTTCTCCATGTCAGGGAAAGCCATGGTTTTGAGATAAATTATATACTATTTGGAAACATTGTATTATTGGTGATATATTATTGTAATATATAATATTTGGAAGCATTAATTTGTTCTAAACATAAGAAAGGGGGTGTATGCCTCTCATTTCAACCTCATCCTGTTTGGAAGCCTTTCAAAAGTGAAAGCGCAGAGGATTCATACTTGCATCTGTGTTTTAATTGAAGACATTGTTTCCTTTCAAGGTGCTTTGTTTGCAAGAAGTTCAAGAAGATCATTATGGAGCAGAAATCAGGCCGAGCCTGGAGTCACTGGGTACGATATAACTTGCGATTACTTTAGCCAAATTTAGTCTTAATGAGTTTTATGTTATTAAAGCATAACTTTCTAAGTAAAGTACATGACATATTTGGGGCTAACTCTAAATTTTGAAAATGTGACGCCTATTTGAAAATGTCAAGAAAAGACTGAGGTATTTATGTTGGAAACTTTACATTAATATACCTTTAATTCACAAGGGAAGGGAGCTCCCTCTTCTAAGAGCTGCTCAGTCACTGCACCTCTAAGGTTCTGAGGTGCATAGGATCAGGGACCAGTCCTCCTAATTCATCGTAACACAGGCTTTATCTGTGCCTGATGAATAAAGCCCAAGTCTCTTGTGTTTGGTGAAAGAGCACTTGAAGAAGCAGAAGCATCTGTGGACACAGGTACGAGGAGAGCCTACTTGGCACCCAGTCGTTCAGCAGGTGTTTTTTGAGTGTCTGCCCTATGTAGTGCTGTTCTAGACGGTCAGGAAAGCTTGGGCCAAATAGGTAGTCTCCTCCCGTGTGAAGTCTTTTTTATGTGGAGAAAAGCCAGCAATAACTGAAATGAGTTGAGTAGCTTACTAAATAATGACAGGTTTCTGGAGAGAGTCAGGAAAGGGCAGTGCAGAAGAGCTCAGTTTTAAGTAAAATGATCAGAGTGACGTTTGAACAAAGATTTGAAGGAGGTGAAGGATCAAGCTATGTACAGAGCATTCCAGTCAGGACTAGTAAAGGACAGGCCCCGACACTGCAGTGTGTTAAGGCAAGGCAGGCATTGTGGTCAGAAGAGTAAGAGTCAGGGAGAGAATGACAAGCAAAAGATAGAGGTACAGGTGAGGAGCGCGTGGAGCATTAGAAGGCCTTCCTGCCTTGTGATGACTGGGTATTACTAGGCCGGAACTAGACTGCTGTGTGCACGTTGAAGACCGTTGTATACCACTAAAGAAATGTGCTAAGCACATTGTTTTGAGAGTTGGGTCTTCTGTGTATCCAGGTTGGCTTGAACTCAGCACATACTGCTCCTGCCTCCCAAGTCCTTGCATTTAAGTGTGTGTGAAGTGGATATTAGAAGGTGTGTGGTGTGGTGGTCCAGCCTTGTAATCCTAGCACTTGGGAGGCTGAGGCATGAAGATCATGAGTTCAAGGCCACTCTGGGCTTTATAGCAAGTTCAGGGACAGCTTGAGGAACTGTGAGTCCCTGTCTCAGAAGACCAAGGGCTAGAGATGCAGTTTGTGTGAGGCCCTGGGTCTGAGCCTCAGCACCATCAAGAGCGAAATGATGGGACAAAATTTATTTTTTCAGTGCTAAAGAACAAGTACAGTCTCAGGTGCTGTGCCACTGACACCCCCGGCTCTAGCCCTGAGCTTGCTTTGATTTAAAGTTAGTTAGCATCCTGTATTACTAATGTCTTGTCACAAAATGTGCTTTGTCAAATGTTGCTTTAAAATATTGAGAGGTGTTCTGATATGCAGTCTTATCTAAATTCATTTCTTCCAGGTTATCACTGTGAATATAAGATGCGGACAGGACGGAAACCTGATGGCTGTGCAATCTGCTTCAAACATTCCAAATTTTCACTCTTGTCAGTCAACCCAGTCGAGTTCTGCCGCCGAGATATTCCTCTGTTGGACAGAGACAATGTTGGATTAGTGTTACTCTTGCAGCCCAAAATTCCCTGTGCTGTCTCTCCTTCGATCTGTGTAGCTAACACACATCTGCTGTACAACCCCAGGCGAGGTGATATTAAGCTGACCCAGTTGGCAATGTTGCTGGCAGAGATTTCCAGTGTGGCCCATCGGAAAGATGGCAGCTTCTGCCCCATTGTCCTGTGTGGTGACTTTAATTCTGTTCCTGGTTCTCCACTCTATAGTTTCATAAAGGAAGGGAAATTGGATTATGAAGGACTTGCGATCGGAAAGGTAAGTGTTTGCTTCATCCTTGTAGGAAGTGGCTTTAGCTTTTCTAGTCATCACGATGTGAAGATGGCCGTTCGTGGCCGCTAGAAGTTGCTGGATAACCTAGTACTTTACTTACTAAGCTAGAATGCTTTTCTACAGTTAGAAGTGACTTTACTCCTTCACCTGGTGTATTTTCAAAATCTTTTCCATCTGTGGAAGCATTTGGTTAGGAGGAATTAGCACTCAAACAAACAAACAAAAAAGAAAAGAAAAAGCCTTGGCAAAAGGGAGAACTCACAAGGACCTGTTCTCAGGGACAGGTAGCATCTGAATGTTGAACACGGGCAGTGCAGTTGGCAAAACAGTAATTTGTAAGTCTTCGTTTATGGCCGTTCGTGGCCGCTAGAAGTTGCTGGATAACCTAGTACTTTACTTACTAAGCTAGAATGCTTTTCTACAGTTAGAAGTGACTTTACTCCTTCACCTGGTGTATTTTCAAAATCTTTTCCATCTGTGGAAGCATTTGGTTAGGAGGAATTAGCACTCAAACAAACAAACAAAAAAAGAAAAGAAAAAGCCTTGGCAAAAGGGAGAACTCACAAGGACCTGTTCTCAGGGACAGGTAGCATCTGAATGTTGAACACGGGCAGTGCAGTTGGCAAAACAGTAATTTGTAAGTCTTCGTTTACATCATGATGTTACCTTATGTGATGCTAAATATTTTAGTTCTTTAGTTTAGGGCTATTTTGTATTTAAGACAGTTATTTAATTGAATCTTTTGCAAATTTCATATAATACATCTTGATCATAGTTAGAACCCTTCCCCTATCTACATCCTACCGTAGCCCCCCCAACCAGTTTCATTCATTCTATCATGTACGTTAAGGCGTATTGAGCCAAGTTTGTGTCCCCAAATGTCCCTCGTTGTGAGTATATCCACTGGAGCCTGGCCAATTTTCTAGCATCACCTCCTTAAAGAAGACCAACTCTCTCCCCCTCTCCCAGGAGTCATCAGTTGCCACTAGTTTCTCAGCTAAGGTTGGGACTTCTTACCCATTTCCCCACTGCTGGGTTTTTGCCTGGTTTGAGCTTGCATGGGGCTTGTGCATGCTGTCATCATTGCTCTAAGATCATATGAGCAACTTCCCAGCAGCCTGGAGAAGTCTGATTCCTGTGGTCATCCAGCACCCCTGACTTTCACAGTCTTTCTGCCCCTTCTGCAATCAATGATTCCTGAGCCCTGGGTGGCAGAGGTTTGATAGAGGTGTCCTATCCAGGGACACGCATTCTGCAGTGTCTTAGTCTCTATGCTTTGGCCAGTTGTGGCTTTCTGGGCAAATCACCATCTGTTGCATGAGGAAGCTTCCCTGGTGAGAGTTGAGAGATGCATTAATATTTTCTAAAAAGCTTTGTTTTTGCTGGGCGTGGTAGCGCACGCCTTTAATCCCAGCACTCGGGAGGCAGAGGCAGGCGGATCTCTGTGAGTTCAAGGCCAGCCTGGTCTACATAGTGAGTTCCAGGACAGCTGGGGCTACAGGGAGACCCTGTCTCAAAAAAGACAGAGAAAAGTTTTGTTTCATATGTGTGTTTTGCCTGCATGTATGTAAATGTACCAGTGTCGTGCAATGCCCACAGAGGCCAGAGGAGGGTGTCTGATCCCCTGGAACTGGAGTTGAGGATGGTTCTTATCCACCGTGTGTGCTGGGAACTGAACCTGGGTCCTTTGAAAGAGCAGCCAGTGCTCTTAACCGCTGAGCCATCTCTCCAGCTCCATATTAACATATATTTTTTTTAAATAAGGCATGTGCCACCACACCCAGCCTATGTATTATTTTCATTCTGTGTGTATGAGTGTTTTGCCTGCATGTGTATAAGTGCACCCATGTTGTGCACTGCCCACAGAGGTCAGAAAAGGGCGTTGGATCCCCTGGAACTGGAGTTGTAGGTGGTGGTTAGTTATCATGTAGGTGCTTGGAATTGAACCCAGGTCCTCTGCAGAGCACTCAGTGTTCTTAACTGCTGAGCTGTCTTTCCAGCCCCTATATTCTTTCTGCTCCCTGTTCCTGTGTCCCCTGAGCCTTAGGTGTAGAAGTTATAGTGTAGATGTGTAACTTAGGGCTGGGCATCTCAAAGATACTCTCTGTGTTTGAGCAGTTGTGGAACCCTGTAATAGTCTCCATCTGTTGCAAAAAGAAGCTTTTCTTTTATAAGTGGTGAGAGGCATACTCGTCTGTAAATGTAAGGACATCTATTTAGTATTTTATTATGTTTATGTGTGTGCATGTATTGCCTGCATGTAGGTAAGTGCACCTATGTCGTGCAATGCTTGAGGAGCACAGGCTGTTGGATCCCCTGGGACTGGAGTTATGGACAGCTGTTAGCTGCCATGTGGGTGCTGGGAATTGAACCCGGGTCCTCTGCAAAAACAGTGTTCTTAACTGCTGAGCCATCTCTCCAGCCCAGGACACCTATTTAGATTACAGTAAGAAATTACACTGGTCTAGCAAAATGACTAAAGTAGGTTTTTCTCTAGGATCTGTGACCTCTCCATTCTTGTATATGTGGCTATGCTTACAGAACTACACGAGTTCCCTCCCAGTGAGCAGGCCTTAAGTCCAATTAGCTATTGATTACCCACAAAATAAAAGTACCATTACTGCACCAATAGAGATAGTTTGCTGGGCCAATCATTGTATTTATTAGGCTTTACAGCTGGGTGGACTGTTGATTGGTTTCCTCCCTTGGCAGATGCACAGTGTCCTCTGACACCATGAGAGCCGGTCTTCAGGGGGTGGCTCCCAGGTCAGCTCCAGGTCCTGGGTCTGAAGTATGCCCTGTCTCACCTTCAAGTTCTGGGAATCAGTCAAGGGCTGTGCTATTTTGGGAGTCTCCTGGACTACCCTGACCAACTCAAAGGAGGTATCTCCTGCTGGCAGTATGTTTTTGTTATATAGCCTTCAGCTATACACATACACTCATATATTTTGTGTATTTTCCAGCAGGTTTTTGAACTAAAACATTTCCTTCTGGTTTTTGACAACACCTAAGCATTATCTCTCCTCTCTCCTCCTTTCACACCACCTAAGTGTTACTTCCCTTCTCCCTCCCCAGTTGAAGTCCCCCCATTTCCCCCACTTTCCCCTTGGTAATCTGTCTCCTGCTCCCCTCTCCCATGCTCCTCCTTCTTTCTCCCCGTCACCCTCATGGTTCCTTTCTATTTTCCTGGCCTGCGGTTGCATCAGGGTATAAACTCACATCTAAGAATTTGGAGCGAAGATCCACAAATGACAGAAAGCATACACATGCCACTTACTTTTCCAAGTCTGGGTTCCATCGTTTAGCATAGCAGCTTCTGGTTCCATCAGTCCACCAGTCTGTGGCGCTCACTGGGAGCAGCAGCAGGAAGGGAGGGGCCCAGGCCCAAGACTAGAGCTGTTATCTCTCCTGGGTTAGAGTGAAACCTTCATGCTGTCCTCCACCTACTTTAGGTCACTTGGTCATCAGTATATTTAACCAAAATAAGCCTTCCAATGGAATTCTGAATGGTAGTTTTAACTTGTGTGAGATTTGATCACTTAGTATTTGACATGATGGAAACTATATTACAGGAAGCAAAGAAAAGGTGGGCAGTGTTAGTGGGAAGTTGTGGATGTTCAGTCGAGAGGAAAATATGCATGTGCTAAGTATCATTTTTGTGTACATGATGAGTGCTTTCTGAACTGTCTGGACAGTTTGTAAGTGTTTAATAAAATGAATGAGAGGTAATACCATTTTGGATTGCCTTAGACATAAATTTTCAATACATGAATTATTTAAGGTCTTTCACTTAAGATGCTTGTTGGAATTTTGTTTAGGTGTCTGGCCAGGAACAGTCTTCACGGGGACAAAGAATTTTATCTATACCAATTTGGCCCCCAAACCTAGGTATCTCACAGAACTGTGTGTATGAGGTGCAGCAGGTACCAAAAGTAGAAAAGACAGGTAAGTGTGTGCAGTTCGTTCTGACAGCCCATTGGGTATCAGTCTTCCCTTTGAAGACATAAAACTAAACTTTCAAATGGCCAAAATCTCAGACATGGATGTTTACATTTATAAATACATATATGGATATATATATGTGTGTGTGTGTGTATGTACATATATACATATATATATTATTTGCTCTTTCCTCTTTATTTTTATTTTATTTTATTTATATATTTATTTTTGAGACAGGGTTTCCCTGTAGCCCCAGCTGGCCTGGAACTCACTATGTAGAACAGGCCATCCTGAAACTCACGGAAATCTGCCTGCCTTTGCCTCCCGGGTTGCTGGGACTAAAGACGTGCGCCACCATGCCCAGTTTTCCTCTTTTTTTTTTTTTTTTTTTCAAATGTGCTCCAAACTTACTTTCTTTTTTGTCTTTTTGAGATTGGATCTCCCTGCAGCCCCCGCTGGCCTGAACTCACTGTGTAGACCAGGCTGCCCTCGATCTCACAGAGATCTGCCTGCTTCTGCCTCCCAGTGCTGGGATTAAAGGCGTGTGCCACCACGCCTGACCCAGATCTACTTTTTTAAAGTTGAACTTCCAGAATTATCTGTGCATGAATTACTTGCATGTTGCCTTAGAGTTGTTTACATTTTTCCCTGATTCTGTAGACCATCAAAACATAGACTGCAAGATAAAATATTTAAGTAGGCATCTATCTAAACTGGCATAGCTTGAATTTTGTTTCTAGAGCAAAAGGCTGTGCCGAGGCCAAACAGTGTGCCGGTAGGAGTGACGTATCCCCTCTGCTCTTTCAGATGGCGATCTGACTCAGGCACAGCTGGAGGAAACAGAGGTCGTAGTGACAGCTGAAAAGTGAGTTCTGGAAACAACAAGAGAATTTCTTGACTTTAGCTGAACAATGAAGAGAGTTACCTCTCAGAAAACACTTGGCTCCAAAAGGAACTGCTGATCTTCTGGCTGGCAACGAATATGGGATCTAAGTCAAGTAGACATGAGCTCCAGGCCTGGCTGCTGCTCTTTATCAATGTGAATGTGGCGTCTCTGAGGTTCAGTATAAAGGGCAGTACCTGTGCTTTGACGTGCCTAACGTGTTCTGAATGAACATGGTATATGGGCCTGGACTGGCTCAGGTCTTCTGAAATTTACTGTCAGTGCATATTTAAAGGGTCAAGATTAGAGGAAAATGTCTCCAGATTTCGGTAGGCTCCTTAGTCTTTGGCTCTGGATCTACAGTCTACATTGGAGCAATGATCCAAAACACAACGTGCCACAGAGAAGATGATTGTGTTTTTACTTGAGCTGTAGGGAAAGGTCATCTGGATCAGTTATAGAGAAACTGAACGCTTGGCTGTGATTGAGACCTGGATGCGCGTGAATTATCAAGACAGACCTAGATCTTATTGCTGAGAGATTCTTGAGGTGCTTTATTTTCATTTTTATTATTATTTTTAATTTTTTGTGTATGCGTGTATCACCTGCTTGTAGGTAAGTGCCCCCATGTCATGCAATGCCTGTGGAGGAGAGAAGAGGCTGTCAGATCCTCTGGAACTGGAGTTACAGACAGTTGTTAGCTGCCATGTGGGTGCTGGGATTTGAACCTGGGTCTTCTGCAAGAACAGTCAGTGTTCTTAACCACTGAGCCATCTCTCCAGCCTATTTTAATTTTTTAAATATATTTTTATTTTATGTGTATGAGTGTTATGCCTGCATGTATGCAAGTGCACCTGTGTCGTGCATTCCCTGAGGAGGACACAAGAGGGCATCGGATCCTCTGGAACTGGAGTTATGGACGGTTGTTAGCCACCATGTGGGTGCTGGGAACTGAACCCAGATCTTCTGCAAGTGCAGCTTATGCTCTTAACTGCTGTCTCAAAAAAAATGTATTTGGTTGATTTTCTTCTTAATTTTTTTTAATGTGTTTGTTTGAGTGTATTTCCTGAATGTATGTAAGTACACTCATGTCATGCAATGTTCACAGAGGTCAGAGGAGGGCATTGGATTCCCTTGGAACTGGAGTTAGACTTATTAGCTACCATGCAGGTGCTAGGAACCAAACCCAGGTCCTCTGCAAGGGCAGTCTGTGCTCTTCACTGCTGAGTTGTCTCTCCATACAAATTTTTATGTGTCCCCTCTGGACAGATGAAGAAATACAGAATTTAGTAGATATTTGGTTAATGTCTATTAAGTAATTACTTTTTAAAAAAATATTTTTAAAATTATTTTTATTTTTTATGTGTATGAGTATATTGCCTGCATGGATGTGAATGCACCTGTGTCGTGCAATGCTGCAGAGGTCAGAAGAGGGCTTTGGATTCCCCTGGAACTGGAGTTAAGGACGGTTCATAGCCTCCATGTGGGTGATGGGAATCGAACCCGGGTCCTTTGCAAGAGCAGTAAGTGCTCTTAACTGCTGAGCCGTCTCTCCAGCCCCGAGTAATTACTTTTTATTTTCCTTCAAAGCATAAATGGTTCTTAAAATTCTTGATGTGTTTCTAGAATATAATCTTTAAACATTTTATCTATAACATCAAATGTATTTATAACAGAGTAAACATAAGCCATTCTAGAAGTTATCTTAAGATGCTATTTCAAATGGTATTCCTGAATGATGCCTGGCCACTTATAGCTTTCTAAAAATACAACCAAAAAAAAAAAATGCATAAGTTGTTTTAGGATTTTATGTTCATTTTTAAATAGAGGTTCTTGAACATTTATAGATTTAATTTTAAGATTTGATTAGTATATTGATCCTTAAGCTGGTTTTGCCTCTATTTTAGTCTCCTTAATGGGTTTTCAATACCCATTAATTTAGATTCATTGCATAAATAAATGAATTCTAATTGAAGATGTTTAAATAAAACGTGTCTAGCTAGGCATGGTGCCCACAACCCTAACCCTAACCCTCAGGGCTTGAGGCGGGAGGAGTGCCACACATTGAGGCCTTCCTGGGCTAGAATGTAGGAGCCTGTCTCAAATTGGTTTTTTGGTCTTTTTGAGACAGGGTCTCCCCGTAGTCCCAGCTGTCCTGGAACTCACTATGTAGACCAGGCTGCCCTCAAACTCACAGAGATCCACCTGCCTCTGCCTCCCAAATGCTAGTACTAAAGGCGGGCACCACCACACCTGGCATTCTGTCTCAAATTTTTAAAAAAGGAGGCTGGAAAGATGGCTCAACAGTTAAGCTTTTGGAGAAGAGCAAGATTCGATTCTCAACACCCACATGGTGGCTAACAACCATCCATAATTCCAGTTCCAGGGGAATTTGACACTCTTTTGACCTCTGTAGGCATTGCATGACAGGACATGACACAGGTGCGCTTACATGCAGGCAATACACTCATACATATAAAAAATAAAAATAATAAATTTTTTTAAAAAGAAAACTATTTTAGTTATTTTTCTGTTGCTGTGATAAAACACGCTGATTAGGGACCTTGTAAGAGGATGAGTTTATTTGGCTTAAAGTTCACAGGTTTAGAGTCCATGGTGGTGGGGGAGGCACCTGTGGAAGCAGCCGTGACTGCAGCAGCAGGTGGAGCGATAGCATCTTCAAGCAGCCACAGGAAGCAGAGAGCTACTCTGGCAAGACTTTAGAACTCTCGCAGCCTACCTCCAGTGACATGCTTCCTCCAGTAAGGCCGCTCGTCCTAAAACCTCCTGGAACGGCCCACCAAGTAGACATAAAGTGTCCAAATACTTAAGAGCCTATGGGGACACTTACGCAAACTACCACAATCAGTAACAAAAAATGAGTCCTAATGTCTAGGCTCAGTCTAGGAATAGAATAAAAAAGTACTTAAACTAGGGCTTCTTCACCCAGGGCCATTTTGGTGGTCTTAAGTGCCTTTCGTTCCCATTCAGGTTGTCCTCCCACCTGCAGCACCATTTCAGCCTGTCGTCAGTCTACTCACACTACTCTCCTGACACTGGTGTGCCAGAAGTCACCACCTGCCATTCCCGAAGTGCCGTAACTGTTGATTACATTTTCTACTCTGCAGAGAAGGAGGATGCCGCGAGGGATCCAGGTAAAGGCCACCCGGAATCCTCACAATGCCAAAGAGCACGGGCACTAAAGTCAAGGCTATGTATCCCAATGGTGGATACGTGGACAGAGTGTACCTGAAGAAGTCCATGTCCAGACAGTGAGCTACATGGGTACTGTACCTGAACAAATCCCTCAACTCTGCAAACACTGGGGCCATAAAACACCCCAGAGCAAATTCTTATTAAGATCTAACCCCAAGTCCGGTGTAGTGGCACACGCCTTTAATCCCAGCACTCAGGAGGCAGAGGCAGGTGGATCTCATGAGTTCAAAGCCACCCTGGTCTACATAGTGAGTTCCAGTCCACCTGGGGCTACAGGGAGACCCTGTCTCAAAAAGACCAAAAAAAAAAAAAAAAAGAAAAAAAAATTCTAGGGTCAGTCAGGACTACATAAGACCCTGTCTAAAAAAAAAAAGATTGTATCCCCAGTGCTGTCTCAGATCCAGTCAGACTGTGCTCTAAGTCCACATTGCCATCACCTTTTCCCCCATATTCCTGTGGCAGAAGTTGAGTAAATTGTGAGCAGTCACCAGACAGTTCTTGATGAAATTAGTTACCAAGTCATGCTGCCTTTCACAGTGGGACTATGTGCCGCCCACGTTTATGCTGACCTGGGACAGTGGCTTTCTGAGGGAAAGTCTGTAATATGACCCTGTTTTCAGAAACTAAACATGGCGCTTTTCTTTGTTACAACTGAAAGAGAAATCAGGCTGTGTATGAACCAGAGGAGAAGGAAATTGAGAGAATCCGAAACCTAAAAATCCTGAGAAAGCTTATGGAGATCCCTGGCTTCAGGCGGCTTCTCCCCCTCCCTTTCCTTCCCACTCTCCCTTTCTTCCTCTTCAGCTTTGGTGCTACTTTCCTCCAGCTCCCCACAGCACCTGCTGCTGTCTGTAGGAAGGTTCCGGGCATGTCATACCCACAGAATTCCACTGGGTGGCAGCAGGGTGCCAGGGAGTCGCCTCTCCAGGCCCTCCACTTAGCATGTCATCTGGGACTTACCCTCTGGTTGTCTTGGCCACTCACTACATGGCTGGGGTTGGATCTGTTTGCAGTTCTGTAATTACAGACTGGTTTGGTGCATCAGTGTCTTTGGTGGCTGTCAATCTCAAATCACTAACATTTTAACATGTTAATGCTTTCTTTGAAAGATCTGTGTAAATTGAAATAGAAAAGGTACCTGACATAAATGACACCTGAAGCTGCTGTTTGGGGTTATTAGGTAATTACTCCACTTCGTGTTAGTCTTCTCGAGGGTTCCAGGGTCTGTTGATCACTGTTTAAAAAACTTGCCTGATCAGTTTACAATGGCCTGTTGCAGTCTCACCAAGAATGTGCTTTTTTAATGTAGGAGCCGAAGTTGCTTTGGTTGGTGGCTTGAAACTTCTCGCCAGACTGTCACTACTTACAGAACAAGACCTGTGGACTGTTAATGGACTTCCCAATGAAAACAACTCCTCAGATCATCTGCCTTTACTGGCTAAATTTAGACTTCAGCTTTGACGCTACTTTGATTATACATACAATTTTCTTTCTAATTTATATCCTTTTCAAAGACTGTAAAGGTATTCTTAACTGTTTGCATGCTGTTCATTTGTGCTGTGGGGTTTCTGAATTTGCTATATGCTTGAAACACCAGAAGAAACAAGTTTACAAGTTTTTTTTAATAATGAAATATTTTCCTGACAATTGATATCTAAACACTCTTCATTGTAAAAAAGATGTAAATAATTTGTATTCTGTATCTTAGTAAAGCTGACACTTTTCAGAATATAGTTCATCTTTGATCCTCCAGATAGGAATTTGGCAAGCTTTGCCATGCAAGCTCTAACAAAGCACGGGCTGCCGCCTTTTCAGGTCTGAGTTCCTTGGGAGAGAGAAGCCTGTGTTGAGTCCTGATTAGTTCATTTTAGAAATCACTGGATCTTCAGTCACTGGTATCCGGGCATTTTAGCTTCTGAAGAGGCTTGATAATGTTCCTAAATTGTACAAAATGCTTGATCAATCTTATAACCGTCCTGAGCCATGTGATGTGTCTACAATTTGTTGGGGAAATAGTTGGAAAATGTAGGTCAGTTTGATAAGAGGACAAAACCCTTAGCCAGATGTAGTGGTATACACCTATAATCCCAGCACTTGGGAAATGCAGGCAGGAGGATTAATAGTTCAAGGCCAGCTTCTGCAACATAGTGAGTTTGAGGCCAGCCTGGGCTACATGAGACCCTGTCTCAAAAACAACAGAAAAAGAGGACACAGACCTTTATGTGAACCCACTCCTGTCCTGCCACAGGGGTTGCCTCAAGAAAAGCAGATGAGCCAGATATGGTGCTTGTTACCCTAGCACTGGGGAGACAGCAGAAGGACCACTACAGGTTCCGGTCAGCCTGGGCCACATGGCAAGATCCTGTCTCAAAAAGAAAAAGCAAATGCCTTTGTCTCCTTACCATCGTTTTCTATCTGGTTGTAATAAAAGATTCCTGGGTTAGGGATGACATTTTACTGAACCAATTCTGTATACTTTTATTTTATTAGAAAAAGTGGCAGCTATAATGTTATTTTTATTAGGGCTCAGAAACGTGAGGAAGTAAGTTGTAAAACTCCAGGGTGAGATGCCGGTGTGGAACTTGACAGCCTAGTATTCTCTAAGTAATTACTTTAACTGTTGGTTATAATTTGGTTTTCTTGTACAGTGGAACACCAATGTGAGGGTCTGTCTACACTTTCTATGAAATGTTAGAGGCAGGTCTAATAAATCCTGTAGTTGACTCTATGCAAGTGTTTGAATAAAAAGTAACTAAATGTCAGAAGTGGAAATTTCCTCTGCTTCTCTTGACAGTATTATCAAAGACTTCAAGGCATTTTTACTAAGTAGTCATTTTACAGTAAATAATGTTTTCTACAGTGGGTTTTATCAATGAGATGTTTTAAAATTGGAAAAGAAATCTTGAACTTTACATTTTTAAGTCATTTATTGTAATTTTTTAAACTAAAATCGAGTAGATGCAAGTCTCAGAGGAGGCGTGTAGACTGAAGACATGCCGAGGGAGACAGTAGTGAGTGCTTTTACGTGTTTCTCACGTGTTGGTTTTCATGTACAGTGTTGACTATGGTTCCACAGTGGTCCACAATCTTCAGTTCTGATTTGTGGAGTATTAAGCATCCTGGGTAGCAGGCATAGCCATTACCAAATTACAGTTATCATTGTCCCTTCTTAGTATTAGACAAAGAAAAAATACAGAGTGAACTTATTAGCAACTGATTTTATTATAAGCAGATCAGTGTTAGCAAATTAATATTCCTGAAAACCTGTGAAAAGTTTTTATATCTTGATTATTATTAATTAGGCCATTTTATGTACTTGGAAGTTAACCCGTAAAATTGCTCTGTTACCTTATCAAATGTGTAATTTTGTGGCCCACAAGGCATTTCTCACAAGTTTTTAAACCTCCAATAAAAATGATCTATTTTTCTTTACTGTTGTTGACCAGGAGAGTTGGGCTTCTCTCCTGAGCTGTGTGTTTACCTGCCAGGCACAATAAAACCTGGCTAATTGCAGAAACCAAATCTCACAGTCTAAAGTGCATCCTATCCACATTTGTGTGTACGTGTGTGTACATGGAAGTGTTCACGTGTGTACCCATGTTTGCCTGGAGCCAGAGGTGAACTTTGGGTGTCATTTCTCAAGAACCAATCACCCTTTCTTAAAAGAGAGTCTCACTAGCCTGGACACACTGAGTGGGTAAGCTGGCCAACCAGCAAGCCCCAGGGATCCTCCTGTCTCTGCCTCCCCAGTGCTAGAATCACAAGCATGTACCACCATGCTTGATTTTGTATGTGGGCTCTGGGGATCACATACAAGCATAGCAAGCACTCTACCAACAGGGCATCTCCCCAGCCACTCCAAGTTGTAGGTGCAAAAGGTCGTAAAGTGATAAAATTCTAGTTTGACTGCACCTTTTGCTACCAAGACGACAGGAATGCTTGAAGTCTTTTCTCTAGGGATTTAGCATCGGTCTGCTTGTAAACCTTTGCTTAAAAAACACTTTGTGGGGCTGGAGAGATGCTCAGCAGTTAAGAGCACTGGCTGCTCTTGCAGAGGACCTGGATTCGGTTCCCAGCACCCACCTGGTGGCTAACAACCATCCATAACTCCATTTCCAGGGGATCTGATGCCCTCTTCTGACCTTGGCCATTGCATGACACAGGGGCTCCTACCCACATGCAAGCAATATACTCACGCATAAAATAAAAGTATTTTTTAAAAAGGGGCTGGAGAGATAGTTCAGTGGTTAAGAACACTGACTATTCTTGCAGAAGACCCAGGTTTGAATCTCAGCACCCACATGGCAGCTAACAATTGTAACTCCAGTTCCAGGGGATCCAACAGCCTCTTTGTCCCCCGCGGGCATTGCACAACACGTGTGCACTTACCCACATGCAGGCAATACATGCATACGCATAAAATAATAAAATATTTAAGGCTTCCCTGGGCCTGCCAGACCCACAGGCCTCTCTCTCCTAGGTAAGTCGATCTTGCCCTCCATGCCTTGATTCCTTCAGCCTCACTCACCCTCCCATCTCCCATGCCCGTCTCTCCTCCTAGCCTGGGCCCTGCCCTGTTCCTTGTCTTGGCACACCAGACACCAGGGGAACCACCACTGCTTCCTGATCCTGTGCATCCAGATCAACTCAGTTCCTTCTCAGGTTCCCAGGGGCGCTCTGGGCTTGGCCCCGCCCTCACCTCCCTCTGCCTCCCCGGTTCTGCACAACCTACCAGCCTCTTTCCTGGACGCCAGGGCTGACCTTTCCTCTTCCTGGTCCTTTGCATCCAGACCAATCCAGCTCCTCAGTGCAATCCCCAGGGGCCCTTGGAGCCGCCTCCCACCCCCATCTTCCTTTGCATCTCTGGGTGGGATGGCCACCAGCTGCCCTAGACCAGTATCTTTCCTGGGCCCGACTCCCAGGCCAGTCCAACCCCCAAATTCCTGAGGCCAAAATGTATCCTGGAGGGATGCAGACCTTAGGAGAAAACCTGAGAGCATCTGATCCTCATCTGACTTGGGCCTCTGCAGGAACTCCTGAAGACAAAAGCAATCTGGCCACTCCAATATAAAATCAGAAGTGGAAGCTTAGAGGAACCAGCCTTTTATGCCCAAAAATTAAACCACAAAGACACATAAAGTTCACAAAAAGAAGCAAACCTAAACTTGAAGGCTGAGTCTCACACAAGAATCAGAAACTACAAAAGAATTCACATGTCAAAATCACAGAGAAAAAACAACATGAAAAACTAAAATACCATATCATCACCAAACACCAATAGTCCTCTAGAGGAGTACC